GCATTTGCATCGGTGCGCCTAAGTCGCAGTGTTTGCCATTTGCTATTCCTGAACGGTTTGTCGGAGGCTTACTTGGAAAAGTTTGCCAAAAGGCTGACTGGTTACGGGCTTTGCCACGATGGGAACACAACCCTTGGATCTGGACTATCGCTGTACCGTTTGATCCTCTTTTCACTTTTCGGTGTTAGGTGTGAGAGGTATATTAGGTAGTCTTTTTGAGGTACCCTTTTTGACTAATCGGCCTAGTTGCATATTGAAAGCCATATAGACTGTTCCAAACTAGGACAGGTTGCTTACCCAAATTCAGGATTGTGTGAAACACTTTGCTTGAGTAATGAAACCCTAGCTCCTGACGAAACTAGGATAGGGTAACCCTACCCCATCATAGGGGTGTTTTGGCTCTCACTTAACCGGTATGTGCTTTTAGAGTGAAACTCTACAGGAATGTATGTATCAATCGCAAGTCCGGGTACCAGTTTTGGGGGCAAAAATCAGTGTTGAGTACAGTTTTACAGCTTATGATTGCAACTGCATGTTGTTGGTATCTGAGCAGAGGTGTTGTGTAGTTTTTGATTTTTGCTTTCTTTTGCTTTATTTCTTTTTTGCAAGGTAGTTTTTCACCATTGCTTCAGACGATTCTGTTACCCCCCAAGCACTTTGGACCCGTGTGAGAAGGATTTATAGATCCGAGGATCTTGTCAGGGGACAACCAGTGTTTGTTTCACTCCCACCGGTTACCAGACGGATGAGGATCAAGCAAAATTCACCAATCCAGCAGTCACATTTTACTTCACTTGCGCCCAGTCAGGCCCAGTCTTCTACTTCTACTCCAGAAAGAGAGTATTCGCCAGTTCTGATAGCTCAACATCCCTCAGTCAGCATGGAAGATATGCTACGTCAGCTCCAGCAGACCATTGAGACTATGCAGCTAGATGCTGCTTGCCAAGCTGAGGTCACAGCTCGCCAAGCTGAGGTTGTAGCCCGTTAAGCAGAAATGATAGATAGGCTTCAGCAACAGCAACCACAACTGGCAGTAGCCCCAGCATCCCATGCACCCCCAGCGGGAATTCCGGCACCCGCAGTCACAGTTAATGTCCAAGAGAATATGGGCATTCCGGCAGATCCTATCCCACCTCAGACCTCCAAGGCACCAGTTTACCAAATGGAGACACCATTTGAATTCGAGGTTGACCCTACTGCATTGAAGGTCAACAAGCTAGAAAAGCTCTTCAAGCGGGCACAGGGCGTGAATTCAATCATTGACATTGAGGATGGGTACACAGACTCCGCAGTGACTCTGCTGGACAAATTCAAGATGCTGCATATAGATCGGTTCGACGGCTTCGGTGATCCCATGGTCCATTTGCATTTATTCTCTGATATCTTACGACCAATGGGTCTCACCAGACTTCAAAAGTTGTCACTTTTTGGCCGGACCCTGTCAGGCATAGCGCCCATCTGGTACGCAAAGTTAGAAGACACCGTGAAGCGAAACTGGGAGGAAAAGGCCCATGCCTTCATCGTGTAGTACTCCTACAATAGCTAGATCGAGGTCACAACCTGTGATCTTGAAGCGACCCATCAGGAGTCGAAGGAGGGCTTCTCGAACTCTGTGACCTGATGGAGGGCCAAGGCCTCTATGATGACTATCTGGCCGTCTGAAAATGATCAAATTAGAATGGTGGTTTGTAACTTGCTAGGAAAATTATTACAGAAGATAATAATCTTGCCTTTGTTTACATTTGCAGAGCTCTATGAAATAGGGGTTCAAATTGAGGATACGATGAAACAGGGGCTGATAGACAACGAAAAGGAACAGCCCAAGAGGCCCTTTATACACAGCTCCAATGTAGCCACAACTTGTGGCACCTCTACACGGCCTTCCGATGTGAGTATGGTCACCACCACACCTAAAACTGCCAACCCGTTCGCCAACACCTCCAACACAACTCTACAAACCTCAACTAGCCAGACCCGATCTCAAAGGGTCTTTACCCCGCTCTATATGCCTTTGTCCAAAGCCTTAGAGGTCTAGATCAGAAAGGGGCACCTTAAGCCGTTAGAACAACGCCCTGTACCCGAGCGGAGGTTCAAAAATAAGGGTAGTCGCTTGAGCGCAACTTTTGTCGCTCAAGCGGTCTACAAACTCTGTAAAAGTACTGGTTGCATAAATTTTCCGCTCGATGGACGCTCGACGGTCGCTTGAGCGGAAGACTGAGAATAAGTGTGTTTGCTTGAGTGTGCACTTTTCCGTTCAAGCTACCATGCAAATGTCTGTAAAAAATGCTAGGAGCATGAATTTTACGCTCGAGTGAAGATTTCCTCGTTCGAGCGAACTGGTTGAATTTTGGAATTTCCAGAATTGTGCTTGAAGTCCAAATTTGATATTCAAAGGTCCAAAACTTGTGTTTTTGGTACAAAAACTTGGAAAAACATTGTTTAACATGAAAACACTTCCAATTTGAAACCATTTATTCAAACTCATGCTCCAATTGTCCAAATTCAAGCTTATATTATCAAGTTGAAACCATGCATGTTATGGATTGAGTCCTCTTCCTTTCAAAACACTACAAAGTGACATGAAATGCATGAGTTCATGGATGATCTTCAAGTTCATGCCTCCTAATCTTCATGCATGTATGAATTTCAAGAAATCTTAACTCAAAAATGAAAGATCAAGCATGCATGTGCATAATTCAACTCAAATTCATCGTATTCATGGTAATTTATGCTCAACCTACTCAATTTCAAGCAAATGACCCTATAACTCCATGAACTTAGTTTCTACATGACTCAATTCCAAGAATTTAGGATGGATTTCATACCTAATGTGTGAATTCAAGTGTACTCAAGTGTAATTCTCCAAGTCCTCCACAATTTCTTCAAATTCTCCTTCCTCTCTCTAGAATTCTTGAGCTCACCTTCATTCACTCTCAAAATTTCAGCCCATATGTGTATATTATGAGCTCTAGACTTAATCAAGGCCTTATATAGGGTGTGATTAACTAAGGCTAATAAGCTTGCTTATGGATAATCAATCCTACTCAATTTAATTGATTTTAATTATTTTATTTTAATTATTTTGGTCCAAATCAAATTTTGCCAAAAGTTGCCATAAAATTCTTACTATTCTAATTGGCTTATTGGGCTGGTCAATTTTTACTTCTGAAACCGTTTGGGCTTTAAATTTCTAATTATAAGTCAACAAGCGAACAAATATTCCATGTAATAACAGATAATTACAAAATTAAGCATGTAATCACACAATTAAACATATAATCATGCAATTAAACTTATTGAGACAATATAATATAATAGTTCGGAGGCTAGGGTCGTTACACTAATACTTCACGGTCTTGGTACACTTGGGGGGTTGATTAAAAAGAAGGGTAAATTACATCAATATCCCTTGAGGTTTGTCTTTAATATAAATCCCCTCCTCACATTCTAGAAATTACATTCTCCTCCCTAGGATTTAGAGTTGCATTACAAATTAGCCTCTTTGTTAGTTGACTGTTAGGTTAACAAACATAGTTTGATGATGTCAACATTTAATTTTTTTTTTTTTTAAATATGAACTTTACCCTCATGTTATTTTCCTTCTCTTACTGATTTTTATTTATTTTTTTTAGATTGAATTTTGTTTTTTGGTATTGATGTGGGGAATTTTGTTTTGTCTTGTTTTTTTGTTTATTTTGGTATTAATTGTCCAGTGAATAAGGTTTAGGTAGATGGTGGCTAATGGAAGGATAGGAAGCAGTAGTGGTTATGGATGGTGGCCAAGTGTGTGATTTGGCTTTGATATGGTGGGGTAAAAGAAAGAGGATAGAACGGTAAGTGGAAGGATAATATTATTAGTATCTTTGTGAGAGTTATAGAGGTTATTATACATTTCCTATTAATTCTGTAAAGAGACAAATGCTAACCAGGTCAGTAATATCATCCATTTAGGAGTATTTCTCCATTAAACTTTCAGAATATCTAAAAACATAAAAAATAAACAGAATAAGATAAAATAATATATAAAAGGGGGTTGATTAAAAAGAAGGGTAAATTACACCAATATCCCTTGAGGTTTGTGTTTAATATAAATCCCTTCCTCACATTCTAGAAATTACATTCTCCTCCCTAGGATTTAGAGTTGCATTACAAATTAGCCTCTTTGTTAGTTGACTGTTAGGTTAACAAACATAGTTTGATGATGTCAACATTTAATTTTTTTTTTTTTTAAATATGAACTTTACCCTCATGTTATTTTCCTTCTCTTACTGATTTTTATTTATTTTTTTTAGATTGAATTTTGTTTTTTGGTATTGATGTGGGGAATTTTGTTTTGTCTTGTTTTTTTGTTTATTTTGGTATTAATTGTCCAGTGAATAAGGTTTAGGTAGATGGTGGCTAATGGAAGGATATGAAGCAGTTGGTTATGGGTGGTGGCCAAGTGTGTGATTTGGCTTTGATATGGTGGGGTAAAAGAAAGAGGATAGAACGGTAAGTGGAAGGATAATATTATTAGTACCTTTGTGAGAGTTATAGAGGTTATTATACATTTCCTATTAATTCTGTAAAGAGACAAATGCTAACCAGGTCAGTATAATTTTTCAAATTTGAGTATTAGATGAAATTTCAAAAGGCGTAAGTACATTCTACCCGAAAAAAAAATTATGACTTCGCTTGCTTGTAACGAGGCACTTCAAGAATGAAATCATCCAATTAGTAGCTAGACTAGACGACTCAATGTGATATAAATGATCCCATCTAACTTTTTAATCTCTTTTCATATAGATTGCAACATCATCCATTTAGGAGTATTTCTCCATTAAACTTTCAGAATATCTAAAAACATAAAAAATAAACAGAATAAGATAAAATAATATATAAAATACGTCTAACAAAGAATAAATTAAAGGCATAAAATATGCATTATAATGAACGCATCAAATTCCCCCAAACCTAAACTTTGCTAGTCCTCAAGCAAAGCAATAAATAAATAAATAAATAAATAAAATAAAATAAAATAAAATTCATTATAGTTATGTCAAAAGTATAGAACTAACTGGTATTTTTTTCAAATCTCAGGAAGGTGAGTATAAGGGAAGACCATAAGCAATCTGGGCACCTAACTCAATATACAAGAATCCTACCAACGATTTATATATAATTTATTGCCGCTCTTTTCCCAAAAGAATGTGAAAAGCAAACTCCAATGTCATCTTCCTGCACTGTGTGTCAATGAATGCACTTGTAAAAAAAGAATGTCAATCTGGCAAACTGGTAGTAGCTTTCATTCCAATTTCCATGCCTAGTGTTCTTTTCAAGGAACAGAGAGTTCTGTTGGTCGACTACTACAGCTGTGCAAAAAGGATTTCATTCCATGTATCTGGAACACCAGGTAAGCACCAATGCAAGCAATCCTGTGCACCTGGCGTGGCTTTTATGCTGTATCGAGATATATGACCCTCGTCTCTCAGCTGAGACAAAGCTGTTATATCCAAGAGCTTAACCGATGTTCCCTTCACTGCCCTTGCAGCAAGATCATCGCTAGATTCCTCTTGTAAAACTTCCATCCCAGCAGCGTTCGCACTGGTATTGTCACACGTACCTCCAGTGTCCCAATCTCCATTAAAGAAATGCCTCGGTGAAATAGACCGGTAAAATGCTTTTAATCCTGGATATCTTGGTAGTTGCGAGTTCACCCACTTGATGATGCTGTGAACTGTCAAGTTTCTGGCGCCTGGGATATCTGCAATTTTTCTATCAGTATTAGGAACACCCCCAACATACATGACCCAACGGTTAGCCTTAAGCTTCCCTCTATTCCAATGGTGCCCGGTATTGAGAACAAGGACATCAAATTTGTGAAGGTAATGGCGCAAAAATGCTGGTGGCCGATCAAGGTGCATGGCAACATCAGTCGAACGGTTAGTTATATCAAGGGGCACCAAGTCACACAGGCTTGCAGACCAATAATAAAGTATGGTAGTATTGGTGTTTGGGAACCGATAAGCCCATCCATCAGGACGAATGGCCCCACGACCTTTGACAAGACCATACTCCTTTCCAACATTTATAACATCAGTCCTCTGCTCACCACCTGTGATCATGCACATTACTGACTGAAACTGCTGTCGTCCCAACGAATCCCCAACAAAAGCTAGAGTTTTATCCTTCATCCTGCATGCATCAGCACAAATAAGGAATGCATATGGTTCAGACAACAAGAAATTACATGAACAAAGTAATAAAAACATTTTGTCAACATTAAGGTCATGTTCATTTGGGTGGACTGAATAGATGGAATTGGCATTCCTAGGACTGTTAGCGGTGCAGGGGTATAAGAAACTTAAAGAAGACAACATTTTTGGTTCTAGTTGGTTTAGGAAGTCTTCTAGTCCTATATAAAGCTATGTAATGTTTATAATCAATAGAGTTGATATTTTATAAAAAAAAATTGAGAGCTTTGAAGGTTCTGTATGAATTGTGTGATGCAATCAAACCCTACGTGTGATGCCTAAGGGATTCTAGAAGTGATTCATAGGCCTATCTTCTTCTTTCTTTTTCTTTTCTATTTCAATTTATTATTCTCAGATTCTATTTCAATTTATTATTCTCGGATTACTATTCACAACGCTCTAAAAGTGCACTATTCAACCTCAAAACCCTATCCAATCATCCCCAAATCAACCCTCCTCCCTTCCCTTATCTATTAGCCTTCAATTTAACCCTTTAAAACCTAAATTACTCACTGTTAAGGCTGTCAAATAACCTTTGTTTTAAAAATCCCTACTTGTCCTGCATCAGTTTAGTATTAGAGCTTAAGGTTCAGCCATGATATTTTCACATTGTGGGAGATCCTATACAAGTGGATTGACTTGGGAAGAGGGTAAAGCGCTTCTTAGAGAAAAAATTTGTCTAAGGGATCTTCAAGATGATTTGCTCTTGAGCAAGGTAACATGCGTGTGATTGATTATGCAAGAAAATATAAGGAGTTATTTATCAAATCTGAAGTTGTCGAAAGTGAACGGATAACTATTGCTCATTTCAAAAGTGGATTGAGATTTCGAATTAAAAAAGAGATGTCTTATGCATATTTAGAAGATCTCGAAGATGCTATTGAAATTGCAATACAATTTGAATTTTTTTGTAAAAATTAAGGAGAAATCTACTGTTTTGAAGCTTATGTAGAATACAAAGGCTACCAAAGCTCCAAAACAAAGGGTTCAAGTGCCACAAATAGATGCTGAAAATTCACAACAAGATGCGCCAAAGCCAGATGTTGTTCTTAGGGATCAAAACCCTACACAGTTGAAGTTGCAAGATGAGGAATATGTTCAAAATCAGCTTAGAGAATGATTTCCAGATTATGAAGGATGAGAAGCCACCAATTGAAACTCCATGTATTGAACTTGAAAAGGCAAAGGGTGAAATCAAATAAATTGTCATTCTTTATGCTCTTGAGAGTAATGAATTGAAAAGAGCAGTTGCTAGTTCAAAACATATAATACCTTTAGTGGTCAAGACATTACAATCCGAGGTCTTTGATGAATGTGCGCCAATCATAATCAATGAAATGACCAATAGTGAATCAAAAGATGATCTTGTGCTAGGTAAAGAGGCTAAAAAGAATGATTTGAGGTTGTTGCCGAGAATATCGAAGAAAGTTTTATGAAAACTAATTTGGATGAATTCAAATATGTGTTTCCTATGTCAATTGACTTTGTTATTCCAGAAAAATTTAGTGACATGATTGAAAAGATCAGTCTCTCATTATTATTATTATTATTATTATTATTATTATTTTTTGCAATCTCCAAAGAATAAAAGGCGGCATCAACTTGAACATTTTAATCTGAAACCATGGGTCCAATTTCAAAACTTGTGGATTCTTATACTTCACTTCAAAACTCGAAGTCAAGTTTTTTCCAACCAAGGGAGAATGATACATAGTATAAGAAGTTCAAAGAAGGCTAAATTCAAAGAAGTGATGATACTTGGACATTGATATGATTTCGTAGAGAAGCTGATAGAAATCTTCTATAATTATGTTTCTAGTATTATTAGAGTCTTATTTTATTAGGTGTTCGGGCGATAAATCCATTTTAAAATTTTTCTTGCCTAAAGGTCTAGGCGCTACTTTATTGTGTTCGTAAGGACAAGACACTATGGAATGACCAAAGTATCCATTATCATTACGTATTGGCATTCCTACAAATTTATTTGTTGGATTCATTACCCCAAATCCAATGCCTCTCTTCACTCATCTCTTTCTCTCTCTCTCTCTAGAAACCACTAACATCCACAACCATAACCACTGATATCTACCAAGCAGAATCTCTCTCGCATAACAATTCTGTCACTCAGATTTCAAATCCTTCACTCTTTGATCTCAAACCTCTCTGAGCGACCACGGCGTTGAAGAGATGGAACCTTAGTGTTGTCTCTCTCATTCTCTTCTTTCTCATCACGATCACATCAATTGAAGTGTTCTTCGAAGAATGCTTTGATTGTACATCCAATCTCTCTCTAGGTCGTTTTCTCGGTTTTGATGGTGCATCGTTCTCTAGCGCAGTTTTCAACCTCTACACCACCATCGTTGGCGCCGGAATCATGGCCCTCCCAGCCACTCTGAAGCAATTAGGGATGATCCCAGGACTTATCGTCATCGTTCTCGGTGCGATGTTGACGGAGGTTTCGATCAATGTGAAATTGAGGTTCAACAAAGCTTCCAAAGTGTTCTCTTACATGGGACTCGTCGGCGATGAGTTCGGCGGCGCACTTACGCCTGTATCGTCATCAACAATCTCCAACACACTACTCATCTACATGATCATCATTGGTACAATCCATTGACCTCTCTTTCAATTGTTGTTAGTTTCAATTTATGAAATCAAATTTTTTTTTTTTGCCCTCTCTCTATCTCACTTGTCATATTATATTATATCCTAGATCTGGTTGTCATTTTTCATTTGTTTCGGTACATTGATGAAGTCTGGAACCACAAATCTCCTTTGTTGTATTCTGATCTCGGTGTCGTGGTGATTTTTGCTGAAGTTTTTGACCCCCTAACTATTCGACAAAATGTGTCAATGGAGATCTATGTGATTTTTTTTTCTCTCTATCTGTATTTTTTTTTTTCTTTCTCTTTCTTGACTCAGATATGTTGTTATTATTGATGATGACTACGAAGATGAGTTCATTTTGTACAAATAATGGATCATTCATGTGCGTTGGTGTGTTTAAGAATGAATATTTTCAACAAATAATAGATAATGGAGTTTTTTTGTTTGTTGTTGTTGTTGATGATGATGAAATAGATTGCAACAGATAGGGAGGGAAAAAAGAAAGATTTCAACATATAGGGAAAAAAAATTGAACAGATTGGGTTTGGCTTGGTATTGCAACAGATAGGGGTTGGTTTGCATCTATATTTCGACAGATAGGATTTGCTTTGACTTGTTATTTCACCAGATAGGGAAAAAAAATGAACATATAATAAAATTTAGACAAATAAACAAAATTTGAACAGATTGATATAAATTTGAATAGATAGAGATAGAAACTCACAAAATTTGAATAGATATGGAAAAATTGAACAGATAGATAAAAATTTGATCAGATAGAAAAAAAAAATTTGAGCAGATAGTCAACGAAAAATCAACAAATAAAAAAAAAATCAACAGATAAATTAAGAGGTAAATCAGTAACAAAACATCCTCTAAAACCAATGAATGGACTTCTCATCAAACTATTTCACAAGCGGTGGATCTCTCACAAGCAAAAATTATCCATTGGACTTAATAATGCCTTATACCCTTCTTAGATTGGATTTATCATAAATTTTTTCTATTTTTCTATTATTTTTATGTTTTCTAGGATTTTTAAGGTTAGGGGTATTTTGGTAATTTACATTTGCTGACATGGATCGTATTGGTCGCTCATGGGTCGTCTCGTAGGTCAAGTTATTTATTAGTCTTTGTTTTTGTATCTTATTTGGTCTTAAATTAGTTTTAGAAATCAAAGATATTTTAGTAGTTTCCTTTTTTGATTCTAGTTAGTTTAGGAAGCCTCCTAGTCCTATATAAAGTCATGTAATGCTTATAATCAATAGAGTTGATATTTTATAAAAAAATGAGAGCTTTGAAGTTTCTTTATGGATTGTGTGATGCAATCAAACCCTAGTGTGATGCCTAAGGGAATCTAGGAGTGATTCCTAGGCTTATCTTCTTCTTTCTTTTTCTTTTCTGTTTCAATTTATTATTCTCGAATTACTATTCACAAACCTCTAATGATGAAGAGTATAAGAAACTCAAGGAATGCTAAATTTAGAGAAATGATACTTGGACATTGGCATGATTTCATAGAGAAACTAATAAAAATCTTCTATAATTATGTTTCTACTATTATTATAGTCTTATTTTATTATAATTTTTTATATTTTAGGATTTTTAAGGTAAAGAGTATTTTGATAATTTTATATTTGTTGACATGGATCGTATGGGTCGCTCATGGGTTGTCTTGTGGGTCAAGTTACTTAATTAGTCTTCGTCTTTGTTTCTTATTTGGTCTTAAATTAGTTTTAGAAATCAAAAATATTTTAATAGTTCCATTTTTTTATTCTAGTTGGTTTAGGAAGACTCCTAATCCTATATAAAGCCATATAATGCTTATAATCAATAGAGTTGATATTTTATAAAAAAACAATTGAGAGCTTTGAGGTTTCTTTATAAATTTTGTGATGCAATCAAACCCTAGGTGTGATGCCTATGGAATCTAGGTGTGATACCTAGACCTATCTTCTTCTTTTCTTTCTTCTTCTTTCCCTCTTGTATTTTCTGCACTTTTTTACAGCCCAAACGCTGTTCACAGATACTGTCCACAGTCCCTAAACAGATGGACATTTGGTCCAAAATCCTACTTGTCCCCTATACTTTTTTTACAATTTCAGCCATAAAATCCAATTAAATAAGCCCCAAAAGCCCAGATTTGCTACTATCCCTAATTGTCTTGCATCAGTTAGCCTTGGGGTTAATCCCTTTGAATTGTGTATCGTATCCCATGATTGGCTTAGGATTATGAGAAAGAAATTGACAAAATCCTATATATTTTGCAATTTAACTAATTAGGGGAGCCCCTCTTTAGTCCTCCATTTTGTATCCCACCCCCCTGTTCGGATTCAATAGTCCCCCATATAAGAGATACCATGTCCAGATGGACATTTGGTCCAAATCTCAATTTTCTAAGCCAAATATTGGATTATGCATTTTGTAGGATTATTAGTCCAATCCCATGGCCATGTCCATCCAAACAAACATGGCCAATGAGCAAACAAGCTGGCTCAACAAAGTATTTGGTCAATAATTGAGAAAGACACAAGTACCCAAGTGGCAGCGATAAGGAACTAGTTCACAGTTAAGAGCGAGCTCAGTAAGCAACCACTTTTCTTATCTAGCTACGTGCAGATACCATGTACCGGTCAGGTCAGCCTGGCTAATACCTTAAACGAATCCAAACCATCTTTAAGTTGTTTGAAGTAGTGAGCAATCAAACCCAACACGAAATTTAAAATATTTAATTTAAGCCTATAGATAGGCTGGATCTACTGTGCCATGAACTATACAACCAATAAAATGACAACATGGAAATTTGACCAAAGTTGGATATTACCTACTAAGGAATTTTGAGCCTGTAAAATCTTCCATTTTGCAATCTTTAGGTTGCCACCGTAATTTCTCATACTGAAAATCCTGGCGCTGTGTCAGGCGGCATGACCACATTGATGACAGCCATTGTTTACAGCCAAATCCAGAATACAAAGGTCGACCATCATCTGTGACCCATTTTCCTTTGGCATAGCTACAGGCTGAAGCAAGAATAAAATTATGGGAGTCACAGAAAAGGTATACAAATATTTACACATATATTGAAACAACTACATGGTTTAAGAAATGATAGACAAGTATGGAAGAACAGATAAGAGAACAATTGTGTATGTGAAAAAAGTATGATCAGGCACGCCCACAAAATTGAAGTAGCCCAAATTCGCGCCAAAAAGACAAACCAGTAAGTCCCTGTTATACTTGTTTCGACAACCAATCAAAAGAAAATTGCTCAACTCAGGGAATTTAACTTTGTATCTCAAGGAGCCCCATCGATTAAATAATTTGAATTTCATGAGCACATTACAAATTTCCCCTACATAAAACACACCTACAACAGAAAAGCCCTGAGTAGCTTAGGTTCTCTTATTGAGTTTTCCAAGTGTAAAATGGCAGTATTCTACCTTGTTTTTCCACATGAGACGTCAAATTGTTATTGTCTTCTCCTCTAACGGAAGAATCTGTCCTCACAGAACTCGATGGTGCCACTAGGTTCTTCTTTTCTCCTTGTTTTGAACTATTCTTTTGTTCTGAAACTTGTTCAACATCTGAGACTTCTTTCGTACTTGGGGAAATTTCTGCACCACCACCAAGGGGGAAAACATTTTAAAGGTCAGAACATGAGACGCTTTACAGATTTAAACACAAATTTCAAACTTCAAGTACGAATTACACTAAAAACAAGTTATATATTGTACTATGAAGCAGAAATCATCTGTTTGGCAAACACAAGTGAAGCTGATCTGAAGAATATAAAAGCTTGATACATAAGAAACATGGGAACAATAGATACACAACCTACACCGCAACGTTATATTCCAGGATTCCATAAATGCAAAATTTAACATACAAATAATCATTGGGCACCAAATCTCTTCAACATGTTCAGATTTTTAAATAAAAATTCCCCTTTCAGCTGTCTGTTTCTTCTTCAAATATTACAAAAGCCGACGTCGCAAAATCTCTTCTAATTTCATAATCACATATGCCTCATTGTAAATTAATCATGAACGTGAAGTAACGACGGTTACTGAAAAATGAAACAAGGGTATTTTTATTTAAAATGATGGACACAGAATTTCCACATTAGTTTAGAAGAATGATAAGTGATTACAGCAATCCATGAAGTATATAACACAGATATCACCAGAAAGAGCAAGTTCCTCTGGTCATACTAAAGCAAAATCCTACCATGTTCTTTGTCCAGAAGAGTGGTTAAATTTGTATTCCCTTCCTCCACCACAGAAGAGCTTGTGTTAGTGGCATTCACTACTGCTATATCCACACCTTTTTTCGATTGTTCTAAAATGTTTTCTCCTACTGAAACTTGCTTTTCTTTTATTTTATCATCTGGCATTGGTATAAAGTACAGATAGATTAGTAACACTTTATAATCTTACCACAACGTAATAAAGAAAAAATATATCAGGCTGCAACAACTACTAGGTGAAACTAGTAATAAGAACTAAATAACAAAACAGTTATTAAAAAGCATTCACTAGCGCTACTAAATCCACACCTTTTTCCAAGTGATCTGAAATGTTTTCTCCTACTGAAACTTGCTTCTCTTTTATTTTGTCATCTGGCATCACTATAAAGTACGGATAGATGAGTAACATTTTATAATCTTACCACAACTTAATAAAGAAAAAATATATGAGGCTGCAACAATTACTTGGCAAAACTAGTAACAAGAACTAAATGGAGAAAATATATATTAAAAAGCATTCACTAGTGCTACGAAATCTACACCTTTTTCCGATTGTTCTGAAATGTCTCCTCCTACTGAAACTTGCTTCTCTTCTATTTTATCATCTGGTATCACTATAAAGTACAGATAGATTAGTAGCATTTTATAATCTTTCCACAACTTCATAAAGCAAAAATATATTAACAACTACTTGGAGAAACTAGTAACAAGAACTAAATGAAAATATATATATATTAAAAAAAATTCTGTAGTTAAATACAACCACGCTGATCTCATGATCTTAACAAATTGGAGTAGAGATCCAATTGGCACGAAAAACCCAAAATTTCAACAACTGCTGATCATTGACGGGATCCAGCAGAGCAGACTAATGGATGAACGGACCACAGTAATATATTCATCAAATTTCAACATGCTACCTTTTGCCTTCAACAAGAGTAGCTATCAAGCAAGTTTTAACGTCCCATTTAACATTTTAACCATTTCAAAAGGATCATCCTATAAATTGGCAATCTTTAATAAGGACTTAAAAAATAATAAATGCTAAATAAAATAGAGATAATATCTAGAGGAAAACCTGGAGACAGCCGCATAACATGATCCTGAGGCGGAAGTACGGTGGTGAGAAATGGGGTTTTCTCCCATGCCCATAAAACAACGGTTCCACAGACAAGAGTAATGAGGACGAGATAGACATGATTATTCCTCAGTCCGTAAAAGATTGCTTTCATCCTTGAAACTTCAAATAAACAGTCTCAAATTCATCTAGACATTCATCAAAGGGATTGTGTTTCTTCAGATCAATATCTGTAAACCATTGAAACGACAAGGTTAAAGCATAACAATATAAAAACAATTTCTAACATCTGATTATCAGAATCTCAGTTAGCTCTTGATGCACACCCAAATTTTTTTTCACGTACAAATACAACACAAGCGGTTTATTGGTAACAAAATCATTTTTATTTAATGTCATGATGTTTGCATGCTAAATGTGCAGGATAGAGGTAGCAGATGTAAAGACAAGTCACTGCTTCTCAAAAAAAGGAAAAGGACTCAACCCATCGAGACGATATAACAAGCCCATCATTGTAGCCATTTTCCAGAATCCCTTCTTTTTTTTTTTTCAAAATTCAAAAAGCAGCACACTGGAAAATGGATCTGCATTAATTCCATCCAACTTTGAATTACTTTTTGTTGTCTAAGCATATTTGGGGTGGGGTGATGACAATCAAGGGTTTGAAGCATAAATGAGGAAATATATGATTAGGTTACCAAGATGAATAGTACTAAAAATCATATACGTATGAACTTGAGCTGGAAAAGGATTTATTCACTTCATCAGTTCAATAAAGCTGATTATATAATACCCAATTAGGAATCCCTTTTTTTTTTTTTTTTAGTATGAATTCACAAGGATCGACTTTTTTTTCAAAATTCAAAAAGGAGCACACTGGAAAAGGGATCTGCATTAATTCCTTCCAACTTGGGGTTGGGGTGATGACAATCAAGGGTTTGGAGCATAAATGAGGAAATATATGATTAGGTTACCAAGATGAATAGTACTAAAAATCATATACGTATGAACTTGAGCTGGAAAAGGATTTATTCACTTCATCAGTTCAATAAAGCTGATTATATAATACCCAATTAGAACACCAAACACTCATAAAAGTTAGTATGAATTCACAAGGATCGACATTTACCAAACTTGAAAGTTCACATTAACAGCACTTTCAAATCACTTCGAATTAACTAGAATTTCTAAGAGACTTTCTTAGACTAGCTGGAATTAGCAAATTATAGACATAATTAAGAAAAGAAAAATAATCATATTCGAAGCATCAATTATACACATGTATGTGATAAATGGGTTGTAGATGTATCTGCGGAGAGACGAACCTGTAAATTGAGCCTCCAAAAAGCTTGGATCTCTGGAAAATGATTGAATCATGTGCCTATAATTGTGTTGTGGTGATGAGTAAATGATGAAGCATGTGTGTGTGTGTGGGAGAGAGAGAGAGAGAGAGGTGTTCGTGTTGTCTGACGGTGGCGGACTTACAATAACAGCCACCGTACGGAGGAGTTGAAGGTGGGCGTAGGAGTAAATCACGGAGAAGGAAAAAAGGTCGTTTGCGGAGAAGAAAGCAACGAAGGGATGACGTCTCCGTCCATGTGAAAACTATTTAAATTTGTGAGGTGAGAAATGCATACGGGTTTGGTTTTGATTAACCGGTGCTGCATCCAATTAGTATATATATTACCTAGCGTATGCACGATAATTATAGGTATTTATATTTATTTTAAATTTTTTTAATATATAAATTATGTTTTTTAATATTTTTTATAAAAATAATTTAATAATTTTATCACTAATCATAGTGTACAGGAGAAGTTAAAAAGGGTACTGCAGTAACTATATACAGATTGAATCTATAATTATTTGTATAATGGGATTTTTAATGATTGCATTAATAAATGAAAGTATATGAAAAGACATGTAAATTGAAAAAAGTTAATAAATACTGATCAGGGGATTTTGACCAAATCAATAAATGTTGAGTTTTTTTTTTAATAAAAAATTTTAAAAATTCAAATTGAATAAAAAATTTAGAAAATTCAGATTGAGATATTGAAACTCCCACAGGTCTTGGGGGTTAAAAACCCCCCATTTTACTTAATATATAGTATAGATTTACGAATTAGTATTATGTTATTATTATTGACTTTATTTATTATATAAATTATAAATATTTAAAATTTTAAAAATTATGTCACTAATTAATACATATAATATTATTCTTTGATTAATTAATTTTTTTTTACTTTTCTTTGTATATATTGGTGTGTCGCATAGTGTGTGTAATCGAATAAATAAATAAATAAATAAAAAATAATCAGTGTATTTGGTTTTAGTTTTCTTAAAACTAAATTTTTTTTTTTTGTATTTTTTTTTATTTTAGGTGAATATTTTTTAAATTTTAAGTATTTTTTTTTACTTTTTTAGATGCACCTTATTTAGAGGCATCTAAATAGTAAAATATTTGTGAAATAATATTTTAAAAAATTAATAAATATACAAAAATATGAAAAATGTAATGAATTTTCGTATTTTTTTTATTTATATTTTTTGGTATTTAGTGTATTTTTTAAAGATTTTTTTCACAAATATTATACTTTTTAAGCGTATTTATGTTAGGTGTGTCTAAAAATTAAAAAAAATGCTTAAAATATTGAAAAAATCATTGAAAATATCAAAATACGAAAAATAAAAAGTAGAATTTTTTAAAAACTGTTTTCTGAAAAATATAACCAAACAAGTTGAATATTATCACAATAATAATAATAAAAATATACATATAATTATTTAAGTGGTAATAACTTTTATTATTAAACGCAGAATCGGAGATTAATTCAAGGCCAAACTTCAAATGGTGGTGGTATATGCATCAATTAACATATTAATTAGTGTACCAATACTAGTTATGGTATTATTATTAATCTTACTCATAATCACATTACAAATGTTAAAAACCTCTTAAATTATGTCACATCATTAATTAATACACTAGTTAATATATCAATTGCTACGTATAGCATTATTTAACTTCAAATATTAAAAAAAAAAATTAAAAAGAAGCTTATGAGTTGCTACCCACCGTTAATAATAAAGGGGTCGGTTTTGTTACTGTCGTTAAATATGTGGTCGATTCTGTCGATGAGTTGTCAACAATCCAGATCCTTCATCTGGTGTAAATGTCACAACACTCAAACGGTTCCTTTCTTAAGGAATAATACCCCAGTCGTACAGTTTTCTATAACAATTGTTTGCTTGCTCCTACTCTCGCACTCTTTCTCCTGTGTCTTTCTTACTTCTTGGTTTTGTTTAGTTTTAAAATCATAATTTAAGTATAAAATTATAATTTAAGTATTAAAATGTAAGTTAGCTTTGAAAAGAAAAAAATTTGTTTAGCTATAAATTTTAAAAAGAGTTTTAAGTTTCAAATTTTAAATTTTAAAAAAAGTTTGAAATTTCAAAAAGAATTTTGAATTTTAAGTTTTTAAATTTTGAATTGTATTTTGAAATTTTTTAGATTTATTTTTTTAATATTTAAAAATGTTTAAAAAAAATTTGTTTTTTATTTTAAATATTTTTTAATTTTAAATATTTTAAACTCGAAACACAACTGCACACTCAAATCATAACCAAACACATAATTCAAAACTCAATTCAAAAACTATTTTCAAAACTAATAACCAAACACATAACTCAAAACTCAATTTAAAAATTATTTTCAAAACTCATAACCAAATTTTTTTCAAAACTCTTTTCAAAATTCTCTTAAAAAGATAATTTAAAATAATTTTTATTTTATATTTTTTTGAAAATATATTTTTATTTATTTTTATTTTTTCAAAAAATATTTTTTGTTATTTTTTAAGTATTAGCTAAATAATTTGTTATGATTTAGATATATATATATATACGATTCAAATTTTTTTGGATAAATTACAAACACACCCCTAAGGTTTACTTAAATTACAAATTATCCTTTGTGATTCTAGAAATTACATTATACCCCTTAAGATTTCTAATTTCATAACAAATAAGTCTTTTTATTAATAAATTTTCAAGTTTTAATAATGTTACAATTTTATTCCAATTAATATTTCAAATAATTTTATTATAGCATAGGAAATAGTTAGAAATTTTACTTTTTCAACTAATTCTGTTGAATAAAAATTTTTGACAATGAAGTATTTGTAATTTTCCAAACCACAGGGGGCAATTCGTATTTTAAGCAAACCTCAGGGGGTGTATTTGTAATTTACATCAAAATTAAATTAATTGAACATTTATAGTTCTTTTATTTTTTATTTTTTAGATTGATAAAGGCCAGAAAGAAAAAATTAAGGTGAAACACCGGCAGCCTCAGAAATCACAAGCAGAACCAAAGAATGGGGAACCTCTTCCATTCAAATCATAGATTCTTTAAATTCAATCGACATTCATGCAAGGCAGTTACATTTTAAAACTCATAAACAAACAAATTTTCTCTTTTCAAAATTCAACTCAAAATTACACACTCAAATCATAATTTTAAAAAACAAAATAAAAAAATATTTTTTTGAATTTTTTTGGGTAAAATAGAGTTTTGAAAAAAGTTTGATTATGAGTATTAAAAATAATTTTTTAATTGTGTTTTGAATTTTGTATTTGATTATGAGTTTTCAAATTTTTTTTATTAGAATTACAATTTGAAAAGAGAACCAAACGGGACCTTATCTCTTCATTTGAGTATGACCCTTTTTTAATTTGTTTAATTCAACTTATTTTCATTTCAGTATTTTTTAAAAATTATCTTAAAATATTTTATTTTTTAGATTGTTCTCAACTAAATGATCTTAAAAATTAAAAAAAAAACAAATAAATAATTCATTAGAAACAAAATTAAGTAAATTTTGTAAATACAATCTTTAGAGGTTGTCTTATCATCTTTCATGAATGTTTTTTCATGATTGTCTGTTCAAAATAGATTTAAAATGTAAAATAAAAAAATAAGAAATAATAAGAAATAAGGCACAATTAAAAAAAAAACAAAATTCACTATTGATGAAAATATATTTAAAAAAGTCAACTTACAAGTTCGAGCTAAAAGAATTCAAGAGGTCCAGTTCAACCTATGGGATCCATTACGAGCCCTACTCTGATGATAATAATTTATTTTATACATTCCTGTGTGTAGATCATTTATAAGAAAATTATATTGATCCATAATTATAACAACATAATCTTATTATATTTTGTTAAAAAAATAATATTTTGCTTTTAAAATCATATTTTAGATTTTTTATATTTTAAAATCATATTTTATTTTTTATTTGTTGAAGATGAGGATAATAAAATTATTTAGTTATGATTATTAAATCAATTTGATTTTTGCAAGTGATAATTTGTACATAGAAACTTAGATGAATGACTAAAATGATTGGAGTGGCATCGTGGGGAACCCCATGGGTAAACTAGGCACTTGCTTAGTGATTATTAGAGATGGCAATTTGAACCCGGTCCGATGGGGACCCGACCCCCCAACCTCGATTAGAACGGGTTTTTCCCGAAAATTATCCCCATAAGGCTGTGGATGGTATTGAATATTTAATCCCCAATGGTTTTCGGGCTGGGGACAGGGATAGGTTCCCTCGAGGACTAATCCCCGTATATATATATATATATATATTATATGTTTAGGTTATTTTGTGTTCTATTCTCTCAGTCTCTTTCTCTCACTCACATTACACTCACTTCTCTCAGCCTCTCTCCCTCTCTCTCTTTGCTGTGTAGTTCTTGTGATGAAGATCAATGGCGGACGTGCAGATGGGCGAAACAGAGACCTTCGCTTTCCTTCCAAGCCAAGATCTCCTCTGCTGCCACACTTGCGCTTCGTCAACAATGAATCTGCCGCCATCATCACTAGATTTAGAGTCCCTCATCCTCCGCCCTGAGAGCTTTTTCCCTAACATAACGCCGTCGACAGTCCAAACAAATGGCAATAAGGTGATCTGAACCGAAAACGCTGACGAAGCTTTCTTCATCTCGCCGTCGCGTTTGCTTTTCTTCCGTCGTCAATGCAGACGAAGCTTCGACGGCATTGAGTCACACCACCACTACTGTTGATGAAGATGAAGATGAAGATGAGCTCAGATCTGTTGTTACTTTTATTTATTTTTTTATTTTTATTTTTTGGCTGGGGAATTTTCGGAGTCGAGGAAACCCGATCCCCGTTAGGGGACGGGGATGGGGACGGTAATAGGTTTCCCGTCGGGGATCGGGGACGTGGAGTGTGATCCCCGGCCCGTTGCCATTCCTAGTGACTATTTAACATTCCTTTGTGGTGTGAGTTTACAAGTTAAAATATTGTAGAGAATAGTTCGATACTTTTTGTATTGTTGTTTCTCCTATTAATAATTAACAAATTAGGGGTGGCCATCGGCTCACTGGCCCATCCTACTGGTCCAACCCAGCCCGATATTTTTAGAGTTTGAAAATATCATTTTGCCCATAAGGTTGGGTTGAGTTAAAATTTTGTGTCCATTTAATATTCGGATTAGGCTTGAAATAAAGATTTCTTGCCTAGCATGGCTTGGCCTGCTTATTTATAAAATACTACTTTTACATTATTTTAATCATAAAATAAAATAAAATAAATATAAAAGAC